CACTGACATGAGTGTGGTCTGTGTGTGTACATGCACACCTCTGGCTGGGGGTGGCTTCTGTGTGGGGAGATGTTTGTGCCATCCGGCTTCTCCAGCTGGATGGAGAATGCAGCAGTGGCAGACCAGATCAGGTGAGTGCCAGCCCTCTGAAGCGCAGGGGCCTCTGTCATCCTCCATTCATCCGTTGATTTATTCACCAGCCCCCTGATGCTTAAGCAGAGCTGGGCATCCTGGAGCAAACTGGACTTGCTCAGTGCCTACGTTCTTCACTTTGATTCTCCATAAATATATACATTTTTCCAGCTCAGCAGACCTCCCCAAAATATAGTAATTTCATTTCTACTTTTTCACCCTTAAATCCTTGATTTATGAGATATTTATTGTCCTTCCACTAAAGAGATGATTCAGGATTCCTAAAAATATGTTTTGTTTGAGTGGTTTTCATATGTCTTTTCATTATAGTATAAGGACTTTCTTCCCAAGATGAAAATATCTTTAATTTTTCAGAAATGAAAGCAGTGATGTATAGAATTCGGGTAGTTTAAAAAGGAATACAAAATAAGAAATTAACTTACCCACAGTTGCTTCTTCTCCCACGCCCTACCACCATTGATAACATATACGTGTACCTTCTTCCAGGTAGCTTTATACCTGTATACACCTATGGATGTATAATCAGCATTATGTTAATTTTTTTAGTTAAAAGTGTAATGACCTTTGAGATTAATGGTGTGCAGTTATTCAGTAGTTAAAATGTCCATGGTTCATTCAATGTTTATGTAATTAAACCTTTAAATTGCAACACTTCCTCCACCAACTTGAACACTGAAGACGAAAGAAATGAATGAAAACAGTGTAAATGGTGCACAGGTGAGCACGACAATAAACTGGTGAGCCCCAAGTCTCTGAGGGAGCGTCTTAAGGCCACCTAGTTGTGTGTCAGCTGTACAGCTGTGAAGATGACTCGAGTTGACCCTTTAGTGATGTTGAGGGACATGGAATTCAAATGGTCCCTCATAAATCAGTAAAAATACCTTCCAAGTCCACATAGGAAGTTTTGATGAAACTCGGTGGGAAGTCAAATTCCCCCACCTTGAACATCCCAGAACATGATTATATGTATATGTACATACATTTCTACAAAAAAAATTTCTTCTTTGGTATCTTTCTGTGTCAATAAATGTATGTACTGAATACTTTAAGCTAGTGCTTCTCAAACTTTAATATTCGTATGAATCCCCTGATTCAGCAGGTCGGGGGTGCAGGTGGCTGAAGCTGAATTTCTAACCTGCTCCCAGGCGGTGCTGAGGCTGTGCGCACAGCTTCTACTTCATGTAGCGAGGCTCTAAGGACCACAGTGTATTCCATGCTTTGCCCCATCATTTAACAACAAATACCCTGGTTTTGGACGTTTTAGATGTTTCAGTAGAGTTTATGCTTTATTCTTTGCTATTATAATTTCTGTTAATATTCAATTTCAGTTTTAATCTAAAGTACTAAGAAAATACATTTTTGGGGGGGCTTAAAGCCCTATCAGATGAGTTGCAGAAAACGAAGCCAGGCGCCTATAACTTCCATTTCTGTGTAATAATTGTAGCGGCAACCAACACTTATGCAGTGCTTGTTATGTGCAACCACTGGTCCCCATATTAATCTTCTGAGGTAGGTAGTATTATTACAGCCGTTTCACAGGTGGGGAATCTGAGCTACAAGGGTTACAGTAACTTGCCCAAAGCTTTACAGCTGTCAGGCGGAGGAGCTGGGCCCAGCTGTCAGACTGTACCTGCTGTGCTCTCCTGCTACCTCTCCTGAGATCCTCTGGTGTGTGATCAGAAAACAAACCACACAACTGTTTTTTTTTT